CTCTCTTTATTAAGATCACTAACGAACAAAAAACCAGGCTAAGACACGGTATACAAACAAAAAACACACTTACGGGTTGGCCTAACAGTCCGAGATCAGAGCCAGCAAACACATACAGCGAAGGTGATCTAAAATAGTCTGAAGGGAAGTCCGTAACAAGTGGGCGAGGCAGAATAGAATAGTCCAAGGTAACAATCCGGGTCAAAACACAAAATACCAAAACCGAAGAAATGCTGGAGAGTCAGAGCTGGGGTCTAGAACAATCCTAAATAGAGGTGCAAACAATAACGAAACAGGTGAAACCAATGTGAGTGATGAAGAACGCAAAAAGACCGAAACGAAGGTGAAACAAAAACAGGAAGTAACGTCAAAATAAAAGCCGGACAGGAAGCAGCGGAACCGAATCATGACACTGTTTTACACAAAGTGGATTAGATCATCTGTAACTGCTGCCTTGTTTACACAGACAACACAGAGAAATGAACAGGTTTTGCTTGTTGAATTTATATTATAGTAAGTGTCTTGAAATCTTTTTAAGTGCCACAGAACCAGCCAGGAGCAAAACTCATTCCAATATATAACAAATATAGTGGGTTGAAATGCACACTTTTTAATTTTTTTACTATTAAGACAGTGAGCAAAACATCTGTGTGCATAGTTTCTAATGATTTAATAGAATATTGAACAAGACAAATATGTTAGAAATCACTACTGACCTCTCACTGCCAGCCTCCTTCTGCAACTCTGAAAGCTTCACTGATTCTGGAGGAATAACAGCCTCTGTGTGATTATGGGCCATAAAACTTTCTTTATTTATGTGAGCTGCAGAGGTTTACGACACTAATGATTCAAAATGAATGTTTTGATGATTAATGAGGCTGTATGTTTTTAAATGCCACCGCTCTTAAAAAAATGCAGACTTGATGTTTTGCAACTTTAGTGGAGTTTCCTCTACCAGGGGCTACAGTATATACAGTATGCGGTGTCATTCTCCCCCAGCGGCATGCATATAATCAGCCTGATGGGTATGACAGAACCAGTATAAAAATAACCTAATTATTGACCAGGAAGAGGGTCTCTGTGGCTGTCTGGCTATTCGTGATAGAACCAGTAAGAAAAAGCTGGCAGGAAGAAAGGTGGGCGGTAAGAGGTGCTGCAGTCAGACTCTCTACATGGTCTTCTGGTGAATCAATGGGTAAGCACAGGGCAACATCACCTGGTGCCTCCATGTGATGGTTCGTCATGTTGAGAAGTCATGCATGTGGGGAAATTCCAAACAGTCTTCATGGTGTTGTCACGCTGGGAGACTCACTGTCATCCACACTGTCATCATGGTCCTTGTGAATAAGAGCAGTAATTGAGGTAGTAGAGACGAGTTAAAGCCCTGGAGAATGTGTGGCCTTGTCTTCTTCTATATTTTGACTAGCATAAACATGAATTCCACTTTGAGTTGGGCCATCTTTTAACTGGGTTGCCACCATTTAAACTTGATCGTTGTCTTTTGTCTGTCTCACGCTATGTTGCTGGGTGAGATTTGATTTGATTTGATTTGATTTATTCTTTCAAGCTTGTAAAACAGTTAATATAACAACACACATTTATATACACAATCCAATATCAATTTGCTTATACCTAGTACATGCTTGAATGGAGTAGGAAGAAGTCAGACTTATCCAGTCCTACCCCATAACATCATCTTACCATCATTGGTTTACAAGCAGTATCTCTACATAGATAATTATCTTCTACACCACACAAGTAATATACTAAAGAATTATTACAGAGTGTTAACATTCTTACATAATTACATTCTTAAATTGTTATCTTCTACACCACACAAGCTATTACTATTTTTTATGTCCACACTTAAATTATTCCATAGTTTTACCCCACTTATGGAAATACAGAATCTTTTTTTGGTTGTACATATAGCATGAATTTTTAAATTTAACTGACCCCTTAAACTGTATCCCCCTTCCCTTTCATTAGTTTTTGAATTCCACCAGGTAATAAATTGTTCCTGGCTTTATACATAAACACAGCAGTCTTATATCCCACTAAATCGAAAAATTTTAGCAATTTAGACTGTATGAAAGCTCCAATGGTGTGATCCCTATACCCCATGGTAAACTAAAACAGAATGCATAATCTCAAGCAGTGATCTCTTTATTGCATTAATCTACTTGGGTTTTTCACTCCCCATCCTTACAGAAATTCTGTTAATGGGTAACGCACCTCAGGCACAGACATGCAGGCCCATTCAGTAATTCATCTGTGCTTTTCTTTTTCTTTTGGTATCAACTGAAATGTATTAACCAGTTGCTGGCAGTAATGCTTTGTCAGAGTCTTGTCTTGTTAATGCATTCTTTGTTTAGATAGTTCCCAAATTAAAGGAGAACTAAACCAATCTGACATCTTCATAATGTATACATATACTAGTCACAGGAAGTATTACTCATCCTGGGGTTTTGGACTGTTCTCCCTGCTGTTCTGCTGTGCTGCACTGTACTTTGAGGTGTTTCTAATGGTTTATTATTCATTGTGTCATACACATACGGTCGACACAGATTTACAAGGCACCAAAATAAAACATGAACATCATCCATACAAAAGGTTCCCATCCTGAAACACGGTGTAAGTTTCTTATAATCATTCATCAGATATTATTTTACTAAATAGTGTAGCTCTTAATTCATCAAATACTGAGCAATAAAATATAAATGGACTTCAGTCTCACCTGAATCACATAGCAAACAATGCTCTTTCTCTTCAGTGAAGCCAGTAAATCTGTTTGTTTCTGTAGCTAATGTGAATCTTATTTAACTGTGCACACAGCTATCTGTGACTTTTGGGTAAATTAAGGCTCTACACTAGTTGTTTTTCACAGGACAGTATGTTCATTATTTAGGCATGTACCAACCATCAACAGGCCATCTTTTCTGTAATGACATTTCATCTACCATCATTAAGATTCACTGGGTAATCATCTATTTACCTCCAGCAGTTACTCTGTGATATACTGGCCTTCCCAGCTGCACTGGACCCTCCTTGCTCCATCAGAGGTACAATGAAAAGGCAAACAGATTAACTGTGACAAGCGTGCACACCATCACACCACAGTAAATTGATTAGTAGGGGACAAATATAGGCTGTCTTATTACTGGGAGCTAAGACATACTGGCATCAAGTCACAGTAATGTTCTCTGGTGACAGCTGGTCCTCCTGCATGTGTGGTTTTCTGTATGCCAGACATTAATCTCAAACTTTTTAGTGCAAATCAAAGCTCTGTAAACCTCATTCTGCACAGAGAGAGAGAGCTTCCATCCCTTCACGAAAAAGCAATGTCCTCTTTTTCACTGTCTCACAGCAGCAGAGCAACCTGCCCCCGTTTCTGAGGTGTTACACCAGGGTACAGTATGTTCAGATATTTCATTTAGCGCACCAGGTCAGTTACTCTGCTATGGATAAACAACCACTTTGTCCACATCAAGATCAACAACAACAACAAAAAACATTCAAATTAATAACACATACAGGGCTAACTCTGTGAACCTCCCCCCCATCACTCTCATTCATACACACACAGCAGTGATGATGATGATGATGATGCTCTGGAAGTACTGTTGATGCAATTTGGCAGTACTGGGGCACAATTCCTGCTGATTGACATATGATTTAGTCTCCCCTGTGTCCCCACCCCCATTCTGCTCAACAGTCCTCTCACTCCAGCGACCCACCATCTCGGGCTGGAGCCGATCCCAGGTGACACTGGGTGAGAGGTGAGGTCCACACTGGACAGGCCGCCAGTCTATCACAGGGCTGACATATAGAGTCACCAGTCAACCTAAGCTGCATGTTTTTGGACTGTGGGAGGAAGCCAGAGTACCTGCAGAGAACCCACACAGGCACAGGGAGAACATGCAAACTCTGCCCAGAAAGGCACCAGGTTGGCCCGGGCTTGAACCCAGAACCTTCTTGCTGTGAAGCGACAGTGCTAACCACTGCACCACTCTACTGCCCCAAGTTATAATAATACAAATTGGAAATATCACAATAATCTTATATTTATGGAGCTGAAAACAGCTGATTTTTAGCATTTTTTATCAAGAATGAGTTGAATCAATTGCCCAATATTTGCAGATCTAAATATGTTTGGCTACTGTTATGGTTTGTGGACTTGCTCCCTGTTTGGTGCTTTTATCTTGGTTAGATTTCCTGTCTCATGTTACCTCACCTGCCCCAGCTTTTCCCTGGTTCACAATTTCTGTTCATTGCTTCCACGTGCTGCTCGTTACCTCCTGGTCTCCTGTCTATATGTCCTCCTGGTTGCTGGTGTATACCACACCCTGCCTGTCTGCTGAAGCTTTATTTTATTGTCATTGTGACACGTACAAAGAAGTTTTGTTTGGAGCTGAGGGCCCCGGGTTGCTGTGTGCTTACGTGCCGCCATCACAGGCAATTTGGGGGGGGGTTCAGTGTCTTGCCCAAGAACTCTTCGACATGTGGACTGCAGACACCAAGATTCAAACCCTCAACCTTCCGGTTGGGAAACAACTGCTCTACCCACCGCCCCACTGTCACCCCCGGTTATATTTACCTGGGTTGCTTTTAGACTGTTCTTTTGCGTTTTTCCTGTCAGGAAGATTCTTGGTTAGTTCTCCATGTTCGTTTTAGTTATTTAGAGTTCGTTTCATGTAGCTGCCAGGCAGTTTTGTTTAGATATTAGTTTTATACCTGTATTATGACGTCCTGTCAGGTTGAGCATCTGTTTACACTTTTGTTCCTCTTCATTTATATTAAACTGAATAAACACTAGACTCTAGACTGTGTCTGCATTTTGGCTCCTTCCTTGCCCGAAACTTAACAGCTACTTAGTGTATAATCACTATATAGTATATTATATAGTCAACTTTTTATAGATAAAAACAGTTGAGAACACCCGTTTCATTTTTGGCCATTATGAAGAACAAACCTTTGTAACGCGTGTCATATTTCTGCAGGTCTGTTGGGCAGTGCTCGTTTCACCGGCTCCTCCCAGAACTACAGCACTCTGCTGCTGGAGGAGGAGGCTGGACTTCTCTACGTGGGAGGGAGAGGAGCTCTGTACGCGCTCAACATCTCCAACATCTCCACATCTGCGAACCTCGCTGTGAGTGCCACAGATCGTCACCTAATTGCTACTGTTAAGAAGGAAACAGAAAACTCTAATTCACAAGTTTTTATTCCTTTGTTAATATTAAAAGAGGACAAACTAATAATAGGTTTAATAAGATTGAACAAATCCCACTGTGTTCCTCCAGTTTTATGGGTATCATGTTAAATACACCATGCATTTATTCAAAAGTCACTGAAGAGACTCAAAACTCAGTGACGCAGCCAGAAAATTAAATGTGCTGTCTCTCTGTCTCTCTTCCTGTTTAATACACACACTTACCTTCTGTTTCTCTTATGTCTATAGATCTTTAACTATCCCTTCTTCCCTCCTTATTTACTGTGTTAATTGACTCCTCCTTATTACCCCCCACTGTTTCCAGATCGATTGGGATGCTACCCCTGAACAGAAGAAGCAGTGTTTAAACAAAGGCAGAGACAATCAGGTACAAGGCTGCAGCTCTACTCTCTTACCTGGCCACTTTTTCTTTTCAGGAATTTTATTTTTTGAGTTATTATTGCAGAACGTTAATGAAGCCCTTTTTTGTACAGAGTGTTTCTGACAGCAGTTAAGTGAATGGCTGCTTAATCCATTTTCCTGATACCTTGAAAAGATAAACAAAATCACTCATTCATTAAACTTTAGCAAAAATAGCCCCTTGCATATGAAGTGGACTGACTGACATGCACTCTCTCCAGGATTACTTATTGCATAACCTGTTTTCTTCTGTTCTCTGCAGACAGAGTGTTACAATCACATCCGCTTTCTGCAGCGATACAATGAGACTCACCTGTACGTCTGTGGAACAAATGCCTTCAGACCTCTCTGTGCTTATATAGTAAGAGCCCATGTCATTTAATTTCTGCACAATTAAGGCAATTGAAATGAAATGATTAATCGACTGTTGTCCCTGCTCTCTCTGCAAGGATGCAGAGCGATTCAGCTTCTCCTCAGGCTTCGAGGATGGTAAAGACAGATGTCCATATGACCCAGCAAAGGGATACACTGGCCTTCTTGTGGGTATGTGTCCCAGACTTGCTTCTATCCTGCTATCCTGCTTCTGTTGGTGTAGTCAAAGTAGCCTGCAGGCAGCAGAAGTATGCCTTAGTAGGAATAAGCAAAGATTTAACTTTATTAGACAAAAGAGGTGACCTTTAACTCTGTCATGCTTAATGTTAGTTAGATCATGCTGACATCATGGCCAACAAATCAAGCGAAAACTATTTAGGTGATCACCTTCATTAACACGCAAAATTGCCAAGAGTCTGCAGCCAAGTTCTCAGTGGTGCTTTCATCATCATCACCTTTATTTATTCAGGAAAAGATCAGTTGAGAGCAAGTGCTTATTTTCAGTGATGCCCTGACATGCAATTAACACCATAGGTGTCACTAGACCCCTTTTACTGGGGCACGTGCCCCAGTAATGATCTGCTGTGCCCCAGTATAAGCACAGGTTTGAGTTTTAACAAGCTCCTATATTTGGAAGTGGATTAATAATAATAATGGGAAAAGATTTGATTTGTTGCTCTAATCCAGAATGTCAAAGCAGCAGTGGTTAGGGTTCGTACACCATGTTGCACACAATCCCGGACATGCAGTAACCTCAGGCCCTGTATTTTTCTCTACATCCTCTGTCACAGTGCAGCAGCAGCAGGAGGTAAAATATATCCACAAAACCGGGCACAGTTGAAAAATTCTTTTACAATGGCACCAGGGGATGCCTTTTTTTTTAAAATAAACTTTATTGAAAATGTACATAACAAACAAGGCAATATAACATTTTGCCCTAGTTACCATTTATAAATGTTTTAAGTGGGTGGTCCTGTGTTGCATGGTCAGCAGCGTTGCTTCTAAAGCTGGCTGAGGCCTTTCTGTGTAGTTTGCATATTCCCCCAGTGCCTGCAGCTCAGGTTAATTAGAGACTTTAACTGTAGGTGCGAGTGTGAGTGTCTGTCTCTGTATGGTAGCCTGTGATAGACTGGCAACCTCTGCATGGTGCGCCCTTTGTCAGCTGTGATAGGATCCTGCCCCCCTACAACCCTCATGGATGTAGCAAATGAATGGATGGAAATCTTGTAACCACATTGCTTGAGAGGTCACAGTTTGCCTAGTCCCTCTTACCAACAGTTTTCATTTATGATTTAAATTTCCAAATTTCTTCCTTTTTTCTTTGTACAATCTGTTGATCAGATGGTGAGATGTTCACAGCCTCTCAGTACGAGTTTCGCAGCTCTCCAGATGTGCGTAGAAACTTTCCCTTCCCCACACTGAGGACAGAGGAGGCCCCCACCCGGTGGCTTCTGGGTAAATACAACACATGACACCACATGCCAAAAAGAAAGGAAATACTCCACAAATACAAGTGTAAGTGTGTGCAAAATAGCTGCAGCCAGACAGAGGTTTATACAAGTTCACTTGCAATGCTATATTAAACAGACCAAACCTCTCTGACATTTTGCACATTTTTACAGTATCTCTCCAGATGTTTGTTGTTGCTACAGAAATGGATTCACCTGCAGAAATGAAAATTTGAAAATCAAATAAAAACTGCATTGCACTGCAGCTCTAAATGGCTTAGATGTGGCCGTTCGATCATACTTAAAAGCTCTATTTTTAGTTTCCAAGGAGACATGTCCTAGGCTGCTAATAGGTCTGCGGATCTGTGTTTGTGTGTGTACAGAGGCAGATTTTGTGGGCTCTGTGCTGCTGAAGGAGAGCATCAACAGCTCTATCGGTGATGATGACAAGATTTACTACTTCTTTACGGAGAAAAGCCAGGAGCAGATTACCTACCCGAGCCAGACCAAGGTGTCCAGGGTTGCCCGAGTCTGCAAGGTCTGAGAGAGAAGCAAACCAAAACACTAAACTATAATCACATTCATGGCTTCACTGGGTTGGGAAAGTTATATCTAGAAATTGACAAAACTCACATAATAGTGCCTGCAATGTGCAAAATGGGATTATTAATGCTTTGCGTCACTAAAACAGAGTGAAATGTAAGTGAATTTAGGGAGACTTTCAGTTCTCACTTTCTTTCCCAGCTGCCTTTCTCCTTGTCAGTGCTGAATGAACAAGCAGCTGGATGTCTCTAGTCTTGTTTTTTTTTTTATTCTGGTTCTTTCTGCACCACTGTTGCCAGGCAAACTACCAGTCCACCAACTACCACTTCCAATAGCAAACCCTCTCCCTCTCTTTGCTGCCAACCTGCCCTGTACCACTCCTCCTCCTCCTCCTCCATTTCCCTCTCACCATATTTCACTTGCAGTCAGTATCTCTGGACTAGACAGCATGACCAGCACCATTCCTAGAGTTCTCTCCTCCTCTTCTTCCTCTGTCTCTTGTAGCCAATGTCATGATGGTGCAACTACCATCACAGTATGGTGTTGTACTGAAATCACATTACAACATGGGAGCAAATGGGAATCCCAAGTTAAAGTTATTGATTGATGCAGTGCTCTTAAAGCAAACAAGACGTTTGTCTCTCTGCATATTTCAGCTTGTGCTGTTGCAGCTTCTATATTAATAAAACACGAAAATGTTATTAGGTCTGACCTCGCCTGATTGCTGTCATGACTTTAAAATTGCGTTCGGGCAGAGATGGGAAGGAAATCTGTTATGTTTTCTGCTCCAGCCACCTGGAATCGCTTGCAGAGGGAAATTAAGTTAATGAAATTTGTATCACTGGCTGAATTTAAAACTATTGTAAATGCACTGGCTAGGGGTTCTTTTTCTATTTGCTCTTGTTTTTAGCTTTCAATTCTAGTTTTGATATTGTTTTATGACCACGCTGTTCTTAGCTTTGCATATTTTGTACATTAGTATGTATTTTAATGTTGTATGTTTTGTTTTGTGTGGAACCCCCTATGCTGCTGTCGTGGCAGGGCACCTTGTAAAAGAGGTTGTTAACCCCAGTGGGATTTCCCCTGTTAAAATATTGGTTAAATATAATAAATCTTTTAGTGCACATTTAAATTGATGCACTTTTTTTACAAACAATAATACAGGACTGCAGGAAGTGAACTAATTTCTGAAAATGTTGCTCTCTCAAAACCTTTTAGAACTTTTTAAATTCTGTATTCTCCAACAGTTCATCTTCTTATGATTCCCTCTGCGCCAAAAAAAGTAATTTCTGGAAATAAAGTCTCTTATTTTCCTCCTCCTCTCCCCCTTGCTCTGCATTGCTGTGGAGTTGTCGGAGCAGTTGAGAGTGTAATGACTCAGTGTGAACTAGGCCACAGCAGTGCATGCAGATGTCGAGCTGGTCCCCAGATCAGCCCCGTAGCGGCCAGACCCCACGCTGGTTGGAGGCAGATCACCAGATAGTAAAGGCCCTGGCAGCAGCCTCTGGCTTGAAATCACTGGAGACCTGTCCTCTTCTGTTTCATACTGGCCAACCAGGCTGCATCTACTAGCTCAGCAATCATGACCTGGTTTCTCAGAGAAGGGTGTGAATGTCATGGAAACAAGGCAGAAATCAGTGCCATATGAACTTTAATAGTGAGTTACATATATCTCAAAGAGAAAAGAGTTGGACAGTTTGTCACTTTCTGTGGTATAACTTTAGAAACCGACTTTATGTCCTGCTCAAACAGGAGCTCAGTCCACACAGTGACTGTAATGTATCAGCTCAGTTCTTAGCTCTTTCCACAGTAATAACCCTGACATCTATTTATTTTAGAATACTTTGTTGTTTTTGCAGTAGCATCCATCTCATCCCTGCGTTACTAACTCTGCCAACTCTCTTTAGAGTGTCTTCCTCATATACTAAAAATTGAGTTGTTATTATTGATGGAAGTACCTAATGGTGGCACTTTTGTTTTAGAAATGTACATGTTATGCTGATTTATGGTCCTTTGCCTTTCTGTGTGGGAAGCCAAGGCAGGCAGAGGATATTGATGAACAACAGATCTCTGTGAAATACGTAAACAAAGAAAGACAAAGCACTATAATTCAGACAAAGAAGAGGAAAAGAAGCCTCCATCGCTTTTTTTCTTCTAAATGAGGTGTGCTAAATTACTTTTAGGGAGATATTTCTTGCAGCCTCGCCTCCTTGTGCTACAGAAATGAAATTAGAGCAAATGTGCTAAAGTAGGCATACTCAGAGCTAGAAGACTGCTTCAGCCCCACTTTCACAAGACTCTTTTTCTTTCTGTCATTCTTTTTGCAGATACATGTGCATTATAGCATTGTTACTGGTAGTTGATGTGTACAGATATATGTGAGTGGGTGTATTTGTGTGATTTGAAACTGAATATGCTAGAATGTGTCAGCTCAAGTGAGTGGCTTTATCAAAACATCCATCCACCCTCTCCTCTGTCTGCAGACGGACTGGGGTGGCCAGAGGACCCTGCAGAGGAAATGGACTTCCTTCCTCAAAGCCAGAATGGTGTGTTCAGTCCCAGAGTATGAGCTGCACCTCAATATCCTCCGCAGTGTGTTTGTCCTGCAGGGTCGGGATGCTCAAAGCAGCATTTTCTATGGCATCTTTGGCCTTGAGTGGTAAGAGGCTCCATCCGACTCCGCTTTCATTACACTTTTTGTTTAAACTTTTGTTGCTGTTTGGGGAATATTCACTTTCTCTTATGTCCGTTCATTAAATCCAAAGCAACACTCAGCAGCCATTTATCTTAGCTTAGCATAGAGACTGGAATGGCTGTCCAGCATGAGTTTGAGCTGCAGGTTGGTGAGAATCAAGAGTTTGAGGTCAGGACTCAGTTATTACTTTTTTAAATAAATCTTTATTAAAGCTACAGTATGTAACTTTTTTTGCAAAGATATTGGCTTCTGAAAGGTTTTGAGCATGATTGATCTCTCTAACAATCAGATTTTAAGTTATTTCTGCTTGATCAGGAGGTTTGCTCTATTCTTATTTATTGTAATGTCATAAGGACAAATATCTGAAGAGCTGGGCAGAGCATGGTGGAGCACAACAGATTGTAGTGGAGCACGGTGGAGCAGGGAGAGGGAGCGCTGAGTGAAGGTCCTTTAAACCAAACGTCCAGCACACTCCAAGTCAGGGGCAGACTTGTATTGAAAGCTCTCCTCCTCTGATTGCAAGCTGCAGCAGTGATGGTTCCTTCTGTAGCTACTTAGCCAAGCCAATGAAAAACAGCCTAAGAGCAGAAGCACAAAAATATCTGGATATACTGTGGAGTGCAATGGAAACTAGATCTGACTTGATTGAATTTCAATGCAATTTGTCACTGCATCTTTGGACTTTTGGACTGTTGTTCAGAGGAAGTTGTTACCTTGATCTCCGCGATCTCTATTTTCTGACATTTTTGCCTAAATAATGACTATATCATCTGTAAAACAATCAACTGATTAGTTGTATGAATAAGTAGCTACAGTATTTCAAACCCTTGTTGGGATGTTATCAAACCAGAGCCAGTGAAGCTGCAGTCGGAGCCGATGTGAGTGTCGGAGGACAACAGTTGCCAGTGGATTATCTGGTAGCAGTGTGAGTGTGTGTGTGTTTGTGCTGATACAGAGTCATGCTGCATAAAACTGTCCCAAGGGTGTTTGAAGTCTGATGGAAAGGATAGGATTGCAGCAGAACAGTAATATAATCTACTTCTCTCACTTTTTTCTTTGTGGATATTGGAGCTCAGTCGGTCTGTCTGACTTCTCGTTTGCTGCAGCTGCTGTCAAATCGTTCCTTTGTCTTTCTCACATTTCCTCCGTCTCATCTTGTCCTTCTATTTGCTGGTTTTCTCTTAGAAACCTGCACCTGTAGTCATCACTATGATTTAGACTCAGAAGTGCCAGAAGCCCCTGAGCTATTCTGCTCATCAGTTTTTGGTTTCACTTCCATCTCATTTTTCTCACTTGAATGCTTTTGAAGGGTTAGGTGGACACACAATAGGTTTAAGAATGTGATGCAGACATTTCCCCCCATCACTAATCTCACCTCTAGGCCTTAAGATTAAGGGTCACCTGGTTCCCGACTCATGCTGTTGCTATTCTTGGTGGAGAAACCTTTTCTTTCACAAGTGCTTCACAGAAACCGCATATGGGACTGTTTTATTTATTACTCACAGGGAGTGGGTATTATGGTACTGTGAGTGTGGTGCTGAAAAATTTGCAAAACAAATATTTACTTCTGGAGTGAATGAGGGGAGTAGTTGCTGCAGATAAAGAGGGGTATAATGCACTTGGCAGTGACGCCACCAGCTCAGACTGATAACATCCAAGATGAAATAAAACATTACCACCTCAACACCCCCGGTTTTCGGCGCCCTCACTAGCCTAGTTACCTTTGCGCCTGTATGTGATCGCTGATTTGTGTTGTGTTCCCTCTGTGTTTATTCAGTGTTGAATCATTATTCCTGATAGTGGATGTGTCTTTCAGGAAGAATATCAAAGCCACTGCTATCTGCCAGTATGCCTTCTCAGATGTAAAGAAGGTTTTTGAGGGGCCGTACATGGAGGTGCAGGACTCAAAGTGGAGGGAGTACACAGGAAAGGTTCCAGAGCCACGACCTGGATCTGTGAGTTTCATTAATTAAAACCAAGTTGTCTGCCACCATTAGAGTATCTGTATATGTATATGTCTTGTTCTTTCCACTGTGCAAGCAAAGAACCTTTCTCTCTGCTTTTCTCTGCAGTGCATAACAGATCTGCACAGGTCCCAGGGCATCAACTCATCTCGAGACCTCCCAGACAGTGTCCTCACTTTCGCCAGAAGACACCCACTGATGGCCAGCCAAGTGCATCCAATAGGGGTCCGACCACTCATGTTCAAGAGGAGTGTCAACTATGTCAAAATAGCTGTGCACAAGGAGCCGGCGCTGGATGGAAACATCTACACTGTTCTGTTTTTGGGAACTGGTGGGTTTTATTACTAAACACTCCATAAAGCTAAACTACTTTATTTTGCACTCAGTATTGCCTTTCAAGGTTGTTGGAGAGTCTTGTTTGATGAGGTTGTATCTTTCCTTACAGACGATGGCTGGCTGCACAGAGCTGTAGACATCAATGGAGAAGTGCACATCATAGAAGAGCTGCAGTTATTTGACAAACCGCAGCCTGTAGAGAGCATGGTCATATCCTCAGCTGTGGTATGTATTCATGTTCAGCATGCAGAGGCATGTGCTGAATGAATGAAAGTTTAAATGGCCTATTTATGAGTGATGCAAATGCACCCATTCTGCTTTTGATAGATCACGATCTAATCAACTTTATAAATAGGTTTGAACATGCAATTGACAGGATTTTTAATTTATCAGTCAGAATCGGTAAATTACAGAATTTTAAAGAATATTTTAGCTAAAAATTTTACAAACTATATGTATAAGTTTAGTTTAAAGCTTATCGAGAGTAAGAAAGCAATGGAAATTTCCGCCAAAATGTCCAAATCTATCAATAAATAATGATTAATCTGCAAATACCAGTGCTGTCTACTGGTATTTTAGGCTTTAAAGGAAAAAAAAAACAAAAAGAAAGCAATAAATGTGATGCTGTCATGCTGTGTGTGTTTTTCCTAGCGGAGTATCTATATTGGCTCCTACTCTGGAGTCATGCAGGTACCGATGTCAACCTGTAAGAGGTACACTTCCTGCTATGACTGCGTATTCGCCAGAGATCCGTTCTGCGGCTGGGACGGGAGGGTGTGTGTGGAAATATCGTCACGTGCACAAAGGTGAGGTTGTAGACACAAACAAGTGATGCACACATCCAGAGACAGATGCACATTTCCAGTCAGACAAACAGGCTGCTGGTGTTGTGTATGCACACAGTGACTGGGCTACACAGATCTGGCAAAAAATAAACCAGAGTCTTGTTGAGACATGTAAGCTTGCTTTCCTCCATCATAGATCCTGAGTCAGTATTTGCCTAAACCTGCTCTGTAGTTCCATCTGTCTGTTCTGCTAGTTGTCCTCATTTCCTTTGAAACTCGTTTTTATGCTTTCTGTTTCTTCCCTTTCTACCTCTACATGCATTTAGATGACTTTTGAAAAGTGGTTATGTAAACTGAAATTTTATTTCATGTAAAAACATGATTTAACTTTACTTAGATATTAAACTGTTGGCAAGAGTAAACAGGTGTGACACTCAGTGTTGTCGGTCAAATAATATAGTGAACTTTTCAGATTAAGGGATGGCATCATAATTATAATTACTATTGTTAGCTCACTTGAAATTGGTCATAAATATACATTAATCATTTTGACATAGTGTTCATTTTTGCATTAGGATCTTTTTGGTTGTTTATTTCTTCCTTCAGGGCCCAAACATATTCTAATTAATTATTTATACAGCTTACTTTCCATTCCAACAGAAGGTCTATGAAAGCAGGTCAAAGACAATGTTGACCTGGATTTTTATTGCAGCTCAGCAGGAGCTTCTCCTGGAGTGAGAAGGATGGAAATTCAAATGATTAGCACAAAGACACTTTTCTCTTGCTCTCTTAAATCAGGTTTAGCGTAACTCGACATCTGAAGCAGAAAAACAAAATAGGCTAGTTGGAACTAACATTGTTAAGTAAAACATGAGTATTTCCCCGTCACTGGCCACAGCCTGATTGAAAAATCTTAATTTAATGAGGCTTTTCTGATTAAGGTGATGTTGATGGCTAATTCTAATTTATTTCAGGTCAAATCTAACGCAAGATATCCTGAGAGGCATCAGAGGCTGCAAAGAGAATTCAGGAAACGGTACGTGTTACAATGCCAACACACAAACACGCTTTTATGTACCACGCATCACTTTGAATTTTGAGAAAGTTTTGTACTTTTCTCTCCCATCCATTCCCCTTGATTACATTTAACTGGCTCGCTCACTCACACACATTATGGGGTGAAATAAAGTCTAACACGTACTTCTCTTCTTTGCCTGAAAACCCAGGCATTTAGCAGCTATTAAGGGATTTATTAGGTGTGCAGTCTTTACCCATCCCCCCGGTCCCAGCGTACACATGTTAATCAGTTCCTCTTTTGCTGGAGGTCAGGCAGTTGTGGCTGCATTGCAGGGCTCACCACACTTAAAGAGGCTTATAAAATGTAATGGAAAGTGATGGTGAAAGGTTGAGCTGCACAGGTTGCTCTCCTGCACTTTGAAAATGTAACCTTGGTGACCCAGCATCTCATTGTATATTCCTCTCTCTGTCCTGCTGCACTTTTGTTTTGCTGTCTGTCACACACGCTCTACTTTATCTCATCTCTTTTTAGCTCTTATGTTTCATCTCTTTTAGCGCTTCTCATTGTTTCTTCTCTTTGTGATGCCCAGTGGTCCACCGGAGACGTTCTGTGATGTCGGGTGATGATGTGCTACTACAGTGCGAACTGCGCTCCAACCTTGCCATTCCACGCTGGACACTAAATGGCAAAGAACTCCAGGGATACGGTCTCAGTTCAGGCTACCGCATTGGCACAGATGGCCTCCTCATAATTGGAGCTCGTGTCCAACAGAATGGCTCTTATCGCTGCTTTGCTGTGGAGAACTCGGTCTCAGTCCTGGTTTATCTTTACACAGTCAGGGTGCACACAGATCCGTTCATCACTGTGGAGCCCACAGTCGCAACCAACCTCACGACGGTTTCAAGCCCATCTGTTTTGCCCACCAGCAGCCCCAGCGAGCAGCCTCTGCCCTCACCTCCTGCCCCACTGCCTCCAGGGCCTGAGTTTCAAACCTACAGACACATGGAAGCTGTGTACATCTCCCTGGTGGTGGTTCTCGGAGGGCTTTGCTTGGTGCTGAGTGTCGTGCTGCTCTATGTGAGCTTCTGCACCAGACGAACCTCTCGGGGTCGAAAGTTCTCCCAGCAAAGGCTGCACGTCCTGGGGGAATCCGAGAGAAAAAGGAGCTCCCATTTTGAACTCAAAACCATATCCTGCCACTGCAACGGCCATCACGGTCGTCGGTCCATCTCTGTGCCGACCTTTGGGGACATGGCCGATGGTTTCCTCCAGATACTTCCAGGTGAGGGTCAGATGTCTCCCACCAAAACACCTCCTCCAGCCCCTCCTCTTCCTATGCCGCCTCCGCTTCCCGACATGGACTACACCAATGGGCTGTCGGCCACCCTGCCTAGCGTGCTGAGGAAGATCAACGGGAACAGCTACGTGCTGCTGAGGCAGTCTGACCCTGACGGCATGTCACCGCTCTACCACTCCTTCACAGAAGAGCTCAACAGGATCCTGGAGAAGAGGAAACACACACAGCTGGACCTACAGCCTGATGAGAGCTCCATCTAGGACATCCCTCTATCTCCAACTGTAACGTAGTTGTGGGTAGAACTGCATCAAACGCTGCTGTTGTTTACCCAGTATCTATTGGCTGTGTGCTAACCTGAACTGAAATGTGCAGCCTCCTCTGTCTCCAGTGACAAATGGGCCATGGTTTCTCTTCAACAACAGACAACACTAACCAGAGATTGTATTCAAAAAGTGGAGCTGTGGAAAAAAGACTGCACTATTGCATCACAAATTACCATGAGTAGGGAGGTTAATGATGCTACCTCAGTGTAGACTCTGTGGAGGCTTGTGAATGATGGTCAGGGGCAAAATAGGTCATGGGTAAAAGAAATAAATCAGCCCAGAAGGTGGCCATGTGTTTTGAGACCATGGAAGTGTTCAACAAGTTTTTAGTGCCATATTAATATTATCCTGCTATAGAACTTAGTGATACTCCAGCCAAAATCTACTTTGTGCAGTGTTACAGAGCTAAGTATGAGGCTGGTGGGGACATTCAAGATGAATTAACTGGCATCTCATCTACAGGTGTGTCGCATTAAGGCTAATCTATGCTGACCCTCCAGTTCCTCTTTCACATGAACAACTAAAGAACTGCTGACTTAACAGCAACAGTATATTTTTATTAAAAAAAACTTCAAGAATGGTTTGAGAACTGTTTAACCACTTGTTAGGACTGCAAATAAGAAATTACTTTAAAGCTGTTAATTATTTTTGATGAATAGTTTAGTCTAAAGTGTGAGAAAGCTAGTGAAAAATGCCCATCACAGTTTTTCAGAACCCAAGGTGAAGTCTTCAGATTGATTTTGGCTGAACAGCTGTCTAAAACCCAAACACATCCAAGTTGAATTATGTAAAAAAAAAAAAAGAACAAGCAAATCCTCACATTTTATCTGCTGCTAAGAAGCCATAAAAGCACAGGTGTTAAAATATGGTAGATCATACATTTCAATTTATGTTCAATTTTCCCCTCATTTTCATCTGTTCTTCTGTAAATAGCAATAATTACAACACTGTTGCAGCTGTTGGTAGCCATGTGTTGCACCAGTGCCAGTGGAAACACTTGTAGTAACAACTGGGTTTTTTTTAAATCACTGTCTCTGTTTTTAGCATTTGTGTGACAGAAGACAAACGTATAAAAAACAGCTTGTCTGCTTCACAGAGCGCTCAGTTTGTGGGCAGGTTGACTGGCTTCAGGGCTCGGGAGGCCAAGGGAAACCACACAACACACTAAAAGGGGGCGGCTGTGGCTCAGGAGGTAGAGCGGGTCGTTTCCTAACTGGAGGATTAGCGGTCCGATTCCCGGCTTGTCCAGTCAACATGTCAAGGTGTCCTTGAGCAAGACACTGAACCCCCAGTTGCTCCCGGTGATGTCACCGGTGTGTGAATTTGGGAGTGTGAATGGCCGAATAATGTGAAAGCGCTTTGAGTGTGCTCTAAAACATAGAAAGGCGCTATACAAGTATAAGACCATTTACAAGTATAAGACATATAAGAAATGATGTTAGACAGGTTTGTGCTCTCTGCTGTGAAAAAGCTGCTGGTGGCAAGTTGCCACACCTGCAAGCCACAAAAACATCCTCACTGTTTATCTGACACCAGAGCAATGGCAAAACAACAGGAACTGCAGAGCTTACAGCACTTCTTTGGCAAGCTGAGCAGCAGGGTGATTAAGTAGTACTGTGCAAATATAACTTAGAGAGAAGTGACTGAAATGTATCCTCGAGTGATTTGTATCATCCCATGGCCAGTGTAAATAAAGATCTGTCATTATAGAGAAGTGATGAATCAGCTCTTCAGCAACAGCATTTTCTGGAGCATCTGTCAGAGCATCGCTGACAGTACCTGGCTCACCTCCATGAAGAGAGGACAGGAGCTTGTCATCTGTTTGCGTAGAGCACTGTCATCTCCACAGGTAGAAGCAGAAAGGAAACACTTGGCCTCAGTGTTCTGCTAGCCATATGGGGAGGCAAGAGCTGTCTTGCAGTTGCAGGCTTATAGTTGTCTTCTTGTCTGCCTTGAAAGCCACTTTATTCAGAACCTTGATTAAATGAGAATATAGTCCAGGCTATGCACTATGGAAATATGCTAACTTTGTCTGATAAAAAGTCTTGGACAACATGCTTACCTGCATGTTTCTGTATGAAATTCTTCTTTAAAATCTTTGCACAAACAATTCTGCGCTTTTTTCTGAGTGCAGCTGAGTGCAACACCAGGAATATCAGTGAAGTTTTAAGTATTCTGGACTTTTACTGTCACTTATTACTTGATTCTCCTTGTGACATTATGCCAGGCCTCGGTGCCACTTTTATTAAAAAGGGGCCGATCCATGTCAATGTAGCAGTTACAGGCTGCTCTTCCTGGTGAACACTGACTAAAAAGGTGTAAGTGAATGTATTTCACCATATAAGACAAAATTTATTACAGACAGACAGGATTTTTTTTTAAAGGTGAGTTGTCTCAATGTTTTGTTTACAAATTTCACCACCCGACTCCCAGAAATGATCATTTTATTAGATGCTGAAAGACACTGGGTGTTGTGTGCTGACCTATTTAAAACCCTGGGCAAATTTGAAATTGGAAAATAGTTTTTGACTTGATTAAAGCTCCCATATTCCTCACCATATCCCTGTGTGCACTCCAGAAAACTGACATGGCATGAGGCAGGGCTGTCGATTTTCACCACTGCTATATGTCTTTATATATGATTATTTTCTTAAATGGCGTTGTTAGGGTGGAACTGAACAGAAAATGTCACTAACGTATATGCAGATGATATGCTGTTATACCCCACTGAATCAGGAATGTGTGTTGGACACCCTGCTGGAATTTATATTTTACTATGAATTCAGTTTTTTAAAGAGTG